CAGGACGTCCCGGAGTAAACCGCAAGGAGCTATCCAGCGGGAGCCGTTGTCGTCGTAGGACGGTTTTCGCTGCCAACTTGCCCTATTTGCGAGGCAGTCCCCAGCGAGAGCGCCATTCCAGAGTTTAGGAACCACTGTGGCAGTGGCGTCTGGGAGTCAAGCGGGAGGAGGTGTTGAGTGGGAGCCGATGCCGTCGTAGTTGGGCAATCGCCAACTTGACTGAATCGACAGGACGTCTCGGGCGAGAGCGCCACTCCTAAGATTTGGAGGCTCTCTGGCCAAGCATGGTGGTGTAATAAGGACGCCTTCGGAACACCGCCGCGCATCCGTTGGGACACTATGGCGGCCGACTGGTGTGCGAAAATGCCGCCATGGCGTCCCGAGCGAACTGCGATGGCAACCCTGATCGGTGAACGGTTGCGTCCTGACCGACCCAGAACTCCGACGTAACGTTTCTGTTCGCAACGTTCGGGAGCGGCCAAGAGGGGGGTGTCCAAGAGGGGGGGGTGCAAATCATGGAGAGAGCGTGATCCACCGCCGCTTTACTATGGAAAATTGCCAACCTTTTCCTCCGGAGCCCGGGGGTCTCCCCCCCCCCTCCTCCGAAAATCCCCCCCCCCTGCTGGAAACCCCTCCCCCCCCCCCTCCCCCCCCCCCCCCCCCCCCCCCCCCCCCCCCCCCCCACCCCTCCCTCCCTCCGGCAAACCCCCCCCCTCCTAACCCCTCCCCCCCCCCCCCCCCCCCCCCTCCCCCTCGAAAACCGGGGGGGTCACTACAACCCCTCCCCCCCCCCCCCCCCTTCTAAAACCGGACTACCGGGAACCCCCCCCCCCCCTCGAAAACCGGAGGGGGGTCACTACCGGTTCGACCCCCCCCCCCCACGCACCGCCAGCAAACGACTCCCGGTCCCTACCACCGCTCGCATCACATCCCCCACTGTTGTTCCCAGCACCACTGTCCTCACCACCACTGTCCCCACTGGTTCCACCACCGTCCCTATTGTCCCCACCAGTGCCCCCACCACTGTCGCACTGTCCCCACTGTTCCCACAACTGTTCCCACCACGGTTCCACTCTCCCCACTGTCTCCACGGACCCAACCACTGCCTATCCCCACTGTCCCCACTGTCCCACTGACTCCTCCGCTGTCCCACTGAGCTGTCCCACTGTTCCCACCACTGTCCCCACTGTCCCCACCACTGTCCCCACTGTACCTCTGTCCCATTGTCCCACCGCCGTCCTCGCCACCGCCTTTACCACTGTCCCCACCACCATTGTACCCTCCACTGTCCCACTGTTTCCACCTCATTCCCACTGTCCCCACACCACTGTCCCCACCACCACCGTTCCCACCACTGTCCACTGTCCCCCCTGTTCCCACCATTGTCCCCACCACTGTCCCCACCACTACCGTCCCCACCACTGTCCCACTGTCCCCCCACTGTCCCCACCACTGTCCCGCTGTCCCCTCACCACTGTCCCCACCAACACCGTCCCCACCACTGTCCGCACCCCCACTCGGTTTTCGAGGGGGGGGGGGCGGGTTCGAACCGGTAGTGACCCCCCCCCTTTTCATGATGAGCTGGGGGGGGGGGGGAGGGGTTCGAACCGGTAGTGACCCCCCCCGGTTTTCCGGAGGGGGGGGAGGGGTTCGAACCGGTAGTGACCCCCCCCGGTTTTCAGCCAGCAGCGGTAGAACACGCTCTTTCAAATCATGACCGGCGGCATGTGCGCGGCCCAGCGGGGGGGCCAGGGACGTAATGAAATAAGAAGAGGAGCATGAAATCAGGGGAGATATCATGGCCCCCGCCATGATACCGTGGATGTAAACAATTAACGCGAAACTTATTCATAACATTGGATTTCGCCATTCAAAGGCCGCGAGTTCCAGGTAAGGCAAGATCGGCAGCTGCCCGCGAAAATGTAAACAATAAACGCGAAACACGGAAGCATTTTTTTCAACCTGGGGCCGTTCATGCCTAGCTTGCGTTCCATATCTTTGAATGGCGGAATTCAATGTTACGGATGGGTTTCGCGCTAATTTTTTACATCCACGGTATCCACCCCCCCCTAGTCATCACCCCCCTCTTTTCCGCCCCCGAAGCGTCGCCCCCTCGAGGTCTGGACTCCGGCCGGGGGGCGGAGTCTCCTCCCGGGTCGTTTTTTGGTTGCCTGCCCCGAGGCCCGGCGTGCCCCCCCCCCCCCCCGAAGTCAAGAACGGCGACACTGCTCCCGTCGCGACGCTGTCACGAGGAGAAGAAGGAGGAGGAGGAGGAGGAGGAGGAGGAGGAGGAGACGGAGGAGGAGGGAGGAGGGAGGAGGAGGAGGCGGAGGGCGGAGGAGGGAGGAGGGAGGAGGAGGAGGGAGAGGAGGAGGAGGGGATCTGTGATGGTACACCGAATGGCTTGCGACTGTGGGCGCCTCGATCTGAGAGGGACTCTTAAGGGGGACTGGCTCGAAAGGGATTCACATCGAGCTGTAATCCGCGATGCGTCGCCGATAGATCGGCGAAATGCCTCCTATAACGACTCCGCACGTTTCTGGGCGGGGGGGGGCTGTCGGGCGCCGGTCGATGCACCGAGCCTGTCTATGCCCGCCCTGACGTGGGCCCTGACGATTTGATTTCCGATGCAGTGGAGGCCAGTCCACAAGAAACCTTCCACAAGAAACCCAACCCTGAGACCCCCAGGACGTCCACTGATTCCTGGTGTGGGAACGTCGCGCTCTCCACAGCAAAACCATCGACACCCAACAAACCCAGAGGAGGAGGAGGAGGAGGAGGAGGAGGAGGAGGAGGAGGAGGAGGAGGAGGAGGAGTGGGCCTCCACTGTATGCCCGCCCTGACGTGAGCCCTGCGCTGGACCCCCCTCCCGGGCGCGCGGCGCCAGGGGCGGCGCCGAGGGCGCTGCCCGGGGGGCCCAGCGCAGGTCCAAGAAAGCCGCGCGGAGCGCCAAAAGTGTCTGTTTATGGGGCCTGACGATTTTTTTCTTTTTGGTTTTTCTTTTCTTTCTTCTTCTTCTTCTTCTTATTATTATTATTATCATTATTACTAGTATTAGTATTATTATTTATTTTTCTAAATGGGGCCTGGCGATTGATCTCCGATGCTTTCTTCTGCTGCCGGCCACGCCCGGTCTCCGCCCCGCGCGCCGGTGCCTCGGCAGCCGCTGGCAGAGAAAGCCAGCGAGAGCGCCCGAGCCGCGCAGGCCGCGCTCGGAGCCCCGCCTCAACCCCATCCTGGGGGCTGCCATGGTGGGCCCATTTTCCAACACCACTACCATAGGTAGGAGAGGGAGGAGGAGGAGGAGGAGGAGGAGGAGGAGGAGGAGGAGGAGGAGGAGGAGGAGGAGGAGTAGGAGGAGGAGGAGGAGAAGGAGGACCAGTGGAAACCCAAGAGTTATCAACGATGTTGGAATTACTCCTCCCTCCAAGCTCCCTCTTCATATGCCCCCTACAAAGGTTCATTTCCATTGAGGGAACTGCCTCGTTGGAAAACAACAGTTTGAAGATCCCGAAGCGGGCCAAAACTTTGTTCTCGGGATTTCAACGCCACGTATCAACCTGACTGCTGCGTCTTGACGATCCAGAATCGTGCCAGGACGCCATTTTTGGTACTTCAACACAGCGAACCAATATAACTGTTGCGCCCGCATAATCCTGAATCCTTCCAACACAAAACTTCTGGTACGCTGATCATGGGAATCCGTGAAACTCTTGCTATTTAAAAGCACGGATGTGCGCGGCGCTGAGGCGCGAACCACATTTTGAAAAGGAGCTGCCATGAATCCGTGAAGCTCTAGTAATTAAAAAACACGAATGCGCGCAGCGCTAAAGCGAGAGCCACAAGTTGAAAGCCACCCGCTCTCAATCCGTGAAGCTCTTGCAATTTTCTTAAACGAATGTGCGCGGCGCTGAGGGGCGAGCCACATGTTGAAAACCAGCCGCTCTCAATCCGCGAAGCTCTTGCAATTGTGTTAAACGAGTGTGCGCAGCGCTAAAGCGAGAGCCACAGTTTGAAAACCACCCGCCCTCAATCCGTGAGGCACTTGTAAATTCTTAAAAAGAATGCGCGCGGCGCTAAGGCGAGAGCCACATGTTCAAAACCACCCACCGTCAATCCATGTGCGCGGCGCCAAGGCGAGAGCCACAATTTGAAAACCACCCGCCCTCCATATGTGACGCTGCTGTCACTATTTAAGCTTCAGAATCATAAATGGTGGGGAAGTCTCAGGCAAAATGCCCGGCCCGCCCTAAAAACTGGCCTCGGGGTGCGATAGGGAGAAGTTATCGATAAGGAGAATGAACGGAGGAGGAGGAGGACCTCCTCATCCTCCCTTCTCCCCCGTCCTACCTATGGTAGTGGTGGTGGAATACTGGCCCATCCTGGGGGCTGCCAGCCCAAGGCAGGGAACCGAACTCTGCACACCGACCGACGCCCCATGAGCAAAACGTGGCTTCGTGTAAACGACCTCGGGCCCAAACCTGGCGGGCGCAAGCCTGGAAAATGACGGCCACGGCGCCCTCTGGAGAACCGACAGCGGACAATTCACGAATCGACGTGTCAGGGTGGGGGTTCTGTGCACCCCCGAGCAACCCCATCCTGGCGGCTGCCAGCCCAAGGTAGGGAATCGAACGCTGTACACCGACGCTTTTGTCCAGCCCCCCGCACTGATATTTGTAAACAGGACAACGGATCCTGGTGTGTATACGGGATCCTGGCGTATACATGCTTCGCTGCTTCCCCAGTATGATTGAAAAGTATGCACCACGCCACCCCGACGCCGTCCCCGACCCTCAAAAAGAGTCCTGGGAGTACGTGCGCCAGTTTCCGACGAGGTGCTCCCAGCTCCTCGCGCCGCTTCGGAGCCCCCCCGGGGGGCCCTCTGGGCCCCGCGACAGGGTGGTCTGGAGGCCGTGGATGGGGGGGCCGCCCTCGGCCTTCCCCCCCTGTCCCATCCCGGCAGCGAAGCCTCCGCCGCACACCAGCGGGCCAGGCAGCCCTCACTTGCCCATGGCCGTCTTCAGCGCCTCCGCCTCGGCCTCGAAGTCCGCGCCGGCCCTCGAGGACTGCATCTCGCTCTCCTTGCCTAGGAGAAGGAAGAGAAAGCAACGGCTTGAGCCTAAACTTCCGGTGGCAGGTGTGGAGTTCTTAGACCGGCGCTGGACCCCTGTGGCGGCGCCTCCAGCGCTGCCCCTGGCGCGCTCCGCGCGATAGGGAGGGGGGTCCATTGCCGATCCAGGAATCTCGTATCGATGTTCAAGGGATTACGTTGACGCAGTTTGTTTTCCTCGACTTGCCCGAGTAGAGCGTCTCCATCTCCCCCATCTCCTCCGTATGCTGCGCGTGGGCCTCCTCCATCGCCTCCTGCGCCGTCTTCAGGGCCTCCAGGCTGCTGTTCTGCGCCGCCTGAGCGACGAAGCAGAAAAGAGGGTCTTGCGCAGCACACCACGGCGACCTCACGCGCAGGCCTCACGCGGACCACCGGCGCGGAGCACCGGCGCGGAAGGGTAAAGAGAGCGCGCGCGCGCCACCGTATAGTCGCGGGCCGCCTGCGCGCGACGGACTGTCCGTGCGGCCGACCCCGTCTGTTTTCGTTCGCCCCGGCACGCCCGCAATGAAGGGCTCCCAGGACACACAAATAAATACACACAAATACAAAGATTCTCCATAGTTTCCCATATTTTCTGGGCTTCTGTCTTCCCCCCCCCACTTCCCATATTTTCCCATATTTTCTGAGGAATCGAGGGTTAATTGTGTCTGTGTGTTTTTTCCTCTCCTGACGCAGTGGGAATCACAAGTGTGGGCAGGACGCCGGGCAGCAGGCGTCGTCCAGAAGCGGCAGCGGCCGCTGCTGGGCGGGCGACGCCGTGCCTCCAGCGAGCAGCGTCCGCGGCGACAGCGACCACGAAGCGTGCCCAAACCAGGAAAGAGCTGCCGTCGGTCTTCGTCACCATCCTTCCCGTGCCCATTCCGATCGTGCACCCCTGACTCCTGATCCGCCCTACTTTGGGCGATTTCGAAAGTAGGGCGGAAATTTCCGCCCTACTTTTAAGGCCCCTTTGAGCGTCGATTTCCGCCCTTGAGGCTCCTTTGGCGTCGATTTCCGACACAATTTTAGGTCGGAAAATCATCCAAAGTACGGCGGATCAGGAGCCAGGGTGCTGTCGGTCTTCGTCACCATCCTTCCCGTGCCCATTCCGATCGTGCACGTCGTTCATTTCTGATCGTGCTCATCTCTGATTGTGCTCGTTTCTGCTTGGTCCTGGCCCCCTAGTGGCCAGGAAGAGGCCCAGGATAGAACAATCAGAAATGAAAGGATCTTGGCCCCCAAAAGATCAAAGAACTTTCGACGAATGAGAACTGAACAATGTGTACCGATCGTCGCTGGCCTGAAACTTCCGCAAGTGCCGGGAGAAAGACGCGGGCGACGCGACCTGCGACTCGCGCACGCGCTCCCAGGCCTCGCCGCGCTTCCCGCTGGCCTCGAGGTAGTCGTGCACCGCCTCACGACGGAGCGGAAAGATAACGATGCCCTTTGCTCTGCGGACCTTGCCTGGGGTGCGTCCTGACAAGGATCCAATACGTCGGTGAGCAGTACGAGTGCGGGCAGCAGAACGAGTGTAACCAGCACGACAGGCCCCTGGAGCACCAACGGGACCGCGAGCAGTGTAATCATTGTGATGAGCGTGATTGTGACTGGCAGTACGCCAGTGAGCAGTACGAATGCGAGCAGCAACGCGAAGGTTACCATGTCGATTGGCACCAGCAGTACATCGGTCATGAGGAATTGCCAGAGCAATCAGCAGCAGCATGAGTGTTACCAGCACAGCGGGGACGAGAAGTGCTAAATTGAACGTGTGCGAGCAGCAGCTCGAGGGTTCCCAACACGACTGGAACTAGTAGCATGTCGATGCACACTTTAAGTGCTAGTGGCATGTCCAATGCTACCAGCACGACCTGGACTAGCAGTACATGTGTGGAGCACGAACGCGAGCAGCAAGACGAATGTTAACGTCACGACTGGGACCAGCAGCCCGCTGGTGAACAGTCCGGACACGAGCTGCAACACGAATGACACCCGCACGGCTAGCGGTCGAATCCTTACGATTGGTTTTGACCCCGAGCCTTGGTTCTGGACTCGGGGGGCCGGGCTGGGGAACTGGAGCCGCTCGGGGTGTGAGGACGCTGGGCCATGTGGAAAGGGAGGAGTGGGGAGGGAAGTTTGAGTAGATGGGGAAACCACAAGGTACCGATACCGACACTCCCTGGACTTCTCCCGGGGTGCGTTCTGACCAGGATTTCGAAACGAATCCAGCGGTGGCGACGAGGGCCTCCCAGGAGGCCCAGAAAAGGGGAAAACGGGCGAAGGGTAGACGTGGGAGAACCCTTCCCTCCCGTGGGTATATCTCCGTGCTCCAGAGTCAGAGTCCCAGCCAACCACAGCGTGCCACGCCAGCGGGGTGGCGGCCCGCCCGCCCACGTCCCCACACAATCCTGTGCGCAGGAGGAGGAGGAGGAGGAGGAGGAGGAGGAGGAGCAGGAGGAGGAGGAGGAGGAGGAGGAGGAGGAGAGAGGAGGAGGAGGAGGAGGAGGAGGAGGAGGAGGAGAGGAGGAGGAGGAGGTGAAGGAGTAGGAGGAGGAGGAGGAGGAGGAGGAGGAGGAGGAGCAGGAGGAGGAGGAGGAGGAGGAGGAGGAGGAGGAGGTGCGAGGATTCCCGGCGGAGGGCGGCCACCGCAGGGCACCACACGGTGGCCTTTCCAGCGGCCGAGTGGTGGGCACCGCACGGAAGGAGCCGAACTCCATACACCGACGCTGCTTTCGGCCTCGCACTGACATTCGCACAGCAACGGATCCTGGTGTACACGGGATCCTGGCGTATTACACATGTTTCGCTGCTTCCCCGGGAAAGCGGGGCAAAAAGTATACACCACACCACACCGACGTCGCCCCCGACCCTCAAAACAGTCATGGAAGCGAGAAACAGCCCGCCACCGGGAATGTACACGTCCCAGTTTCCGACATACGCCCATCGCCGCCAGCTGGGGGTGCACCATGCAGGCGGACCTGGAAGAACATGAGACCCTCCACCAGCCACGGTGCAGCACATCCGAGGGTGCCCTCCCCCAGGATGCACAAGAACATCAAGCGGACACGAGAAGCATCGGGGCCCCCTCCCCGAACCGACCTCGATCTTGTACCCCAGCCCGACTGTACGCACCCTGGCCTCGATGACACCACTGCCACGCTCATGAGATGGCTTCGCTCTCGACTCCAGCCGCGGAGGCGGGAGCCCCCCAGGAAGGTCGACAAAAGGGCGGCAGCGAGGGAGGAGGGGCATCGTTTGACGCTGGACGAGCGCTGACCTGCTGGAGCCGTCGCGCCCTGGAGGGGCATCGCTGTGTCCTCCCCCCCTGGACTCCTCCTCCTCCTCCTCCTCCTCCTCCTCCTCGAGATCCGCTCACACTCGCTCCGCGGAGCCCTCCTAGGGCCCGCCGGGAAAACATGCGAACAGGGAAGAGTCAGACACAGTCGGCGTATTGACCTGAGGAACCCTAGATAAGGAACGAGGCCCCCTTTTGCCATCAGTTAAACTTCGATTTCCTGTCGAAAACATAAGGGAAACCTGAGGCAAGCTGCGAAACACTTAAGGAACGCGGAGCCCCTCCCCAACGAAAAGGGTTCCCTCTTCAGGGCCCCGGCTGTACGCTGGAGAAGAAACGTTTATACATAATCTACAGAAGACCTACAGAACCAACAAGTCAAGTCCACCTGAGCCGCTTGTCACCCCAGGTCGTCTTCTGATGGCCCCGGGGGCCCGAAGCGGGGCCCCCGGAGGCCGACCTCGAGGAGCCGCTGGGGTCCTCGAACCTCCAACGGAGCTCGGATGTCAGCGGCCCTCGAACCTCGGGCGCGCGAGGAACCGCTGGGGGATCCTCGAACCTCGAGGGGAATGCAGGGGCCCTCGCGCACCTCGAACGGGGAGGAGGAGGAGGAGGAGGAGGAGGAGGAGGAGGAGGAGGAGGAGGAGGAGGAGGAGGAGGAGGAGGAGGAGGAGCATCGAGGACGACGCCGAGGGCCTCGGCGGCCTCCATGTCCGGGGTCACCACGCTGGGCGCTCGGATCGCCACCGGCTCGGCGCGCGAGAGAGTCCCGCCCGCGGGCGCGAAGGCGCCCAGGACCAGGAGCACGCCCACCGCGGTCCGCGCCATCGACTTGCGCGGGCCACGCCGCGATCTACATTCGCAGGGCGCACGCGCCTGCGGCCACCCAAGCCAGGGGGCTTGAGCCAGCATGGCCGACTTCAGGATCGGCGGAGCTATCCGCGTCCACGCCCCTGCGGCCACAAGGGACCGAAATGTGACAACCCTACCCCTGCAGGACAGATTTCCGGAACGCCGGCCGCGATTCAAAACTCGGAGGGCGTCTGCAGCCAAATAAACCCCAGAGGGGGCCCGATACCAGAGCGTCGAGGGACCCCGCAGGGGTAGGGGTCGCACTTGGTCGCTGAGGTCTGGACTCCGACGGGCGATCCCGCGGATGCGCAGCCGCATGAGCACTTGCCGCGCGAGGCATCCGCGACAAAACTCTCCGTGTCCACGGGGTCGCGTCCCCAGGGTTAGGTCGGGCGTGTCCCCCCACAGGCAGCTCTTGGACGAAAAATAAAAAACTAGCAAGAACTAACTTTTTGGTCGGCGGGGCGAGAGCGAACCTCTTCCGCTAAAAGCTAGGCGGGCTACGCACAGCTTTAATTCTCTTGCACAGCTGTGCTCTAGAGCTCGGACCTCTTTATTTTCTTGGTTCGTTCGTGGTTCGTCGTCCCTGGACCCCCCCCTCCCCCGAGCCTCCCAGGCCCCCCTGGGCCGCCGGAGCCTTTATTTTCGTGGTTCGTTCGTGGTTCGTCGTCCCTGGACCCCCCCCTCCCCCGAGCCTCCCAGGATCCCCCTGCCCCGAGCCTCCCCCCGAGCCTCCCAGGGCAGCCCCCCTGGGCCGCCGAAGCCTGTATTTTCGTGGTTCGTTCGTGGTTCGTCGTCCCTGGACCCCCCCCTCGTCCGAGCCTCCCAGGATCCCCCTGCCCCGAGCCTCCCTCCGAGCCTCCCAGGGCAGCCCCCCTGGGCCGCCGAAGCCTTTATTTTCGTGGTTCGTTCGTGGTTCGTCGTCCCTGGACCCCCCCCTCGTCCGAGCCTCCCATGATCCCCCTGCCCCGAGCCTCCCCCCGAGCTTCCCAGGGCAGCCCCCCCGAGCCTCCCAGGGCAGCCCCCCTGGGCCGCTGAGCCTCCCCCCGAGCCTCCCAGGGTAGCTCCCCCGAGCCTCCCAGGGCCTCCCAGGACAGCCCCCCTGGGCCGCCGAAGCCTTTTATTTTCGTGGTGCCCCCCTGGGCCGCCGAAGCATTTATTTTCGTGGTTCGTTCGTGGTTCGTCGTCCCTGGACCCCCCCCCTCGCCCGAGCCTCCCAGGATCCCCCTGCCCCGAGCCTCCCCCCGAGCCTCCCAGGGCAGCCCCCCTGGGCCGCCGAAGCCTTTATTCTCTTGCACAGCTGTGCTCTAGAGCTCGGACAGCTTTATTTTCGCCGTGGTTCGTTCGTCCCCCTGGGCCCCTCCCCTTGAGACCCAGCTCCTCTGGGCCCCCCCCCGTGGGAGCCTTTGGGAGACCCCTCCGTCCAAGCTTCCCAAGGCAGCCCCCCTGGGTCACGGAACCGTTTATTCTCTTGCAGAGCTGTGCTCTAGAGCTCGAACCCTTTTATTTTCGTCGTTGTGGTTCGTCCACCTGGGCCCCCTCTGGCTCCCCTGGACCGCGCCTCCCTCCCCCGAGCCTCCCGGGACTGCTCCCCCCCCTGCGGCGGCGCCGCGGCGGCGACCGCGGGCGGCGAGCCGCGCGGCGGGGCGCCGCCGACGACTGTCGTCGTCGTCGTCTTCGTCGTTGTTGTCCTCGTCGTCGTCATCCCCCTCCTCCTCCACTTTCTTTCTGGCTCCTCGTAAACTCCTCCTGAAAGACGAAAGCGGGGGCCTCCTGTCCTTCGCAGCTCCGTTGTGCAAGAGCCAGGGCACGCGTGCCACTTGTTAGGGAGACAGGGCACAGGCGGGCGGGGCCTCAGGCGGCCGGAGTGGGCGGGCCCCGGGGTGCAGGCGGTGCCGAAGAGCTTGCACAGGAAAAGGCACGCCGCGGACACAGCAAGAAGGAACACCAAATAGCCAAAAACAGTAAAACAGAGTGTCCCCAGGCTACTTGTTTTCCAATGTTTGAACCTTCCTCCTGCATGGGAAGCACAAAGACATACTAGTACTGTATGTCCTCCTTGGAGGCGCGCGTCCGACCCGAACATATAGTATACCAATCTTGTAGTATATCGCTTCCCGAGCGGTGTGGCCAGAAAGCGCCCCCCACGACGCATATACTATAAGATTTCTCGGTGCGCGCGTCGCCTCCGGGGGGGCGAAGCACATATAGTATAAGTATGTTAGGGTGATGCCGACTGCAGGGGGACGGGCCCGACTTGATCCTTGGAGCCAGACGTGGTGGCGGCTCACCTCTGCTTCCACCGCCCGCCGCCGGCCTCCCGCCGGCGATCCACGGCCTGCACCGCACGCCCGCCGACTGCCGCCGGCGATCCACGGGCTTCCGCCGATGGGCGAGAGATGCACCGATGGGACGCACATGGACATACTAGTACTATATGTCCTCCTTGGAGGCGCGCGTCCGACCCGAACATATAGTATACCAATCTTGTAGTATATCGCTTCCCGAGCGGTGTGGCCAGAAAGCGCCCGCCACGACGCATATACTATAAGATTTCTCGGTGCGCGCGTCGCCCCTGGGGGGGCGACGCACATATAGTATAAGTATGTTGGGGTGTTGCCAAACCGAGGGCGAAACGCTGTGCGGAGTGCCCCGAGGCCATGGAACGGATGTCCGACTTCAGGCCGCGGGAACGAGCCATGAAGTAGGGGCACAGTTGGAATACATCAGGCATCGGCCCGCCCACTTGTGATAGACGGCTTGATCAGGGAATCATCGATGTTTGAAGCAATGATGCGCTGATGCGCTTAACGTTGAGTGGCATCTGGCATTCGAATACACATGCTTGGATCGAACGGCCTGCTCTTGATTTGCGGTTGTGCACCAATTGATGTTCGAGTGTCGTAGTTTCTGTATTTTCTAACGATGTGACGCTTCGGCTGACAAAATAATGTTGTTGCGCTGGTGTTGCTTAACTACAAAGTTGTTCACCATGCGCCCGCAGAATACGCCGTACTCTCGCTCAACGCGAGTATCAACAATCGACCCCCGCAAGATAACCTGCTAAGCTCAAGGCTCCGAAGAGGCGGCGGCCAGTCACGAATGATCCGAATGCCAAAACCATGAATATAACAAATGACACGAACACCACGAATGCCCAAACCACCAGTACAATCGAGCCATTAATAAAGCATGGCCACTAGCCCAAACCATCGACATGCAGCACTGCGTCGAAACCCCTCCTCAAAAAGGAAAGCACCTCTTCAGAGAGCGACCCTCATTGACCGCTAAAACCGAAGGGTAGTGCTCTGAGAGGAAGGGGGAGCGTCCCGAACAGCGGTCCTGTTCGTCCCTGCTGCCTCGCCTCCTCGCCTTCGTCGGCTCTTCCGTGAGCATACCTGGAGGTCATGGGCCTTCATGTTGTGTTACTACTGCTGAGCCCCGTTGATCCTGCTAACCCCGTAACGTCCTTATGTGGGAAGCGCCGATCGCAGTGCTGTTGTGAGGCGAGCTCGACAGACTGCTTTGCTGCGCGAGAGAGCTCATCCTCTCGCCGAGATAGGGACATTGCGAGCCCGTCCTCGGTGACACCCGCAAGCCAGGAACATCGAGATGCGACCCATCCGGCGGTGGACGAACCTGCCTTCAACAATTAAACCACCCTTTAGTGAAAACGGCCTGGGACCGAAACCGACGGACCTGGACCCGCAAAATGACGGCCGCGACGCCCTCTCGCGAACCGAAAACGGCCAATTCGCTAATCGACGTGTCAGGGTAGGAGGTTTATCAACCTCCGATCCATAGGGAGCCAGACGGGACGGGCTGGCCGCTGTTGAGTGCTCGGGTTGCCCGTCGCGAATAACAACGCTCTCGAGAAGCAGTCGGAATCGCGGGTGCTGGTTCGGTCAGCGGTCATCATGTCTTACAAAAACACACACGCACAACTAGTGGAGCTGTGTTCTGTGCCCCTGTTGGGGGGGACCCAACGTGTCGACAATCTCTCTGGAGTCGTGTCGGAGCTGACGGGTGACCCGAGGAATGTGCAGAAACAAAAACCACAACTCCTCCAATTGCGGCTGGTCTGTCCTCCTCAACATCCTCCTCCCTCTCTTCCTCATCCACGCCTCACCCCTGCGCCACGACCGGCCTTCCCGAAGTCCTGGAGCAACTTGCCGACGTCCTTCCGGGGCGCCTCTCGAGCCGTCGTCGTCGTCGTCGTCGTCGTCGTCGTCGTCGTCGTCGTCATTCTCGTCGCCACCTGGGGCGCCTTCGGCGCCAGGGCGTTGCAGTTGCCGATGGAGTCTTCTTCGTTGCCGAAGCCGTTGTGCGGCGGCAGCGGCATCTTGGGAGGTGACTCCACGTGCTCCTGCAGGGGCCGCCAGACTTTAAGGATCAATATTTTATCATCTACGTTTAAGTCGGGCGTGTCCCCCTACAGGGAGATTTTCGACGACAAATAAGATGTACTCAAAAAGCACTCCAAAATGGTCGAAAAATATTAAAAAAAAAATTGTCACCGGATTATTTTGGGACTATTTTTGAATATTCCTCCTGTAGAGGGACGGGCCCGACTTAGATCTACGTTCTGAACGTTTTCATGCTCTGTCTGGGCCCCCCTGGGGTGCACTCGTGGCCACGGCGAAAGGATGGCGTTTCTTAGCACCTCGCACTTCCAAGCGTCGCGAACACATGTCGGCGTTCGTTTGCACTGCTCCGGGGGCACGCTTCCAAACCCCAAAGCCATGGAAAAACAGTCCGTGGCCAAAGACAAGTCTCCTGGGGGTTGGGGTCGAGGGTTCCGGGCGCCCACTCCGAAAAGAAACAATCAAAACGTTGGGCTTTCACTATTCCCCCTCCTTGTCTGGATACGAATAACCTCGGTGCGGCCTTCCCCCCCTGAACAAACGACGCCCCTCCCCCGATTACCCTTGCCGATGAGTCCCTCCCGGAATTTCTCGCCATGCCCCACCCCCCCGCGATTTCCATTCCTCCCCTGATTCCTGACCCCCCCCCGCCTGGAATGGGGCTTGAATCTATCATAATTTGTTTCCCGCCCCTTTCTTGCGCCTTCCCCCACAACGCTTGTCGAATATGACACATGCATCCTCGCCTGCGCCATCGATACGCCTTAAAATCATGCACGCGGAGAACAGCAGTTTAGCCGCTGCGACGGCAGCCGCAGTTCCCAGGATATATCACCCGCGACGCGCGCTGCGGGACTGAGTTCCCCCGACCAGAATGGAACGCCGCCGGGCTTGACTGCTTCACAAACCAGCAGCGCCACAACCTGGACACAGGATGTCGGCGACGAGCGCTGGCGAAGCGGAGCGAACCACCTTCGGCGGGCTGCCCCTCCGCACTGCGAACGAGCAGAGAATGCACGGGACCGCGCGGCCCGCCACCCGGAGCGTGACCCAACGACCGGGGGGCGACGGAGAAAGCGCCGCTGCCCATGGCGTGCGCCGCGCGGCCCCGCACCGCTTGCCCCGGCCGCGGGGGCGCCGAGGCACTGCACGCTGCGCCTGCACGCTGCGCCGGCGCAGCGTGGCGTGGGCAGGAGGAGGAGGAGGAGGAGGAGGAGGAGGAGGAGGAGGGAGGAGAGGAGGAGGAGGGGCGGGGCGAGGCGGCCCGCGAAGCGAGAGGCGGCGGGCGCGCGCAAGCGAGCAAAAGCGAGCGAGTCCGTCGGCAGCCGGCTGCCCCTCGGCCGGCGCGCCCCGCGCGCGGGGACGGCGCGCGCCGCGGCGCCGGCCCCGCTCGCGCTCTCGTGGCTGGCGGGGGGGCGGGGGGAGGTGAGGCGGGGGCCCGGGCGGAGTCCTTCTCCGGCGCTTCCCTGCTCCATCGCGCCGCCCTGTCTCGCGCGCCCGCCGCGCCCTCTGATCCACCCTTCCCTCTCAAGCTCTACCGTTTTTTTAAATATGTGTATAGCATGTGTCAGTCTACTACGTGCACCTACATTGCGTGTCAGTGTGTATATACGTGTGTCTATATATATATAGATGTGTGTATCACTATATGTATATATACACATATTTACATATCACTCTCTCTCTTTCTACCTCTCTCCCTCTCACTCCCTCCGCCCTCCCTCCCCCCTCTCTCTCGCTCTCTCTCTCTCTCTCTCTATCTCTGTCTCTCCCCCTCTCTCCGTTTCTCTCCGTTTCTCTCCCTCTCTCTCTCTGTTTCTCTCCCCTTTTCTTCCGAATCTCCAAATCGCGAAACGACTTGAAAGGCAGGAAAATCAGGGCAGGCCTGCGAACGGCGTTTTTGCCTCTTGGCCTCCCGGGGCCTCTTCGGCATCATACTCACTGCTTGGCTGCGCGGCGGCTCGTTCTTTTGGGGCTGCATCTTGCAGTTGGGCCCTGCGGAAGCCGGCGGGCTCTGCGTGGGGATGCCACGCCGTCCTCGTATCCTCGTTCCCTCCTCGGTTGGTTAAATTGATTGGCGGCGAGCGAGGGGGGAAGTGAAAAGGAGAAGGCCTTCTAAGAAGGCGGCGGGACTTCTCAGAAGCCCTCGCGCTTTCTGAAAGGTTCTTGCTGTCTCTGGGGAAAGCTTAGAAAACTTCTCAGAAGGCCGGGGGACTTCCGAGACGTCTGAGAAGGCCTTTTCCTTCTCACTTCCCCCCTCGCTCGCCGCCAATCAGAGTCGGGCAGGTAACGACATACGCTCGCACTACTTTCTGGCTGCGCGGGGGGGGGGGGATGGGGAGCGGGAGTCTTTTTTAGGCCGACGAAATCTATACATATCCACAAATATCCACTGCTACATGACCAGACCCATCCTGAACCCAGCAGCGGTGCACACGCCACGCCCTCTTGGCTTGGCCAGGAGGGCCTATGCGCAGATCCTGGGTTCAGGATGGGCCTGGCCTGGGAACAGTGGAGATGCATAAATTTCGTCGCCCGATCTCTGCGTTTTCAGCGCGTCGCGTGAAACGCCGGCCACTAACTGCGCAGGAAGCGGGTGTCTGATCCGCCTGACTGGGTGGCTCTCTGCTCGCGCGTGCTCTGTGCGTCCCTGCTAGTGGCCCGTGGCGCAACATTCCAAGGCGCTGCTGGTCTGGCACTTATGGTTACAACGTTCCCTAGGAAAGCTGCTCTGCACGTCTGACCTTAAGTCGGGCATGTGCTCCTACAGGCGGACTTTGGAACACATATGTCATATACCCAAAACAAATTTCAATATAGTCCTAATCAGAAAATCGCCCCCATACGATTCGTTCGATTATGTTTGAATGTTCCCCCTGTAATGGGGCACGCCCGACGTAAGTCTGGTCCGCAGTAGCCTTGGGAAGGGCTGCTCTGCAAGCCCCTGCTGGAGACCCCCATGGTAATGGCAACAAGCTGGAAATCCGTTGTTGGACCCCCCGCGTCGTCGCCCGCCCTGAAGGAGGCAAGGACCTTGAGAAGGGGCTGCTCTGAATTTCGGCGCCCCGGTGTCCGTGGCGCATCAACCCTGCAGGGTGGCGGCGCTGAACGGCCCTCGTGGGCTGCTCTAGCCGCGACAGCCTTGCGGGAGGCTCCTTTGCAGGTCGGCGCGCCCGTTGTCCGCGGCGCATCAGCCCTGCAAAGGGGCTGCGCTGAACGGCCCTCGCGGGCTGCTCGGGGCGCGACATCTTTGCGGGGGGCTGCTCTGCATGTCGGCGCGCCCGCTGCCCGTGGCGCATCGGCGGGTTGCTCGACCGCCCTGCGCGAGGCTGCTCTGAGCGCCGGGCAGCCCCTTGCCGGCGGCGCATCAGTCCTGGGAGAGGCTGCTCTGCATGGCCCTGGCGGGCGCCGATGGTGCAGCGATCCTGCGGGGTGTTGCGCCGCGCGCCAGTCTGCCCGTTCCCCGTGGCGCATCAGTCCTGGGGGGCGCAGTCGTTGCGAGGCCTGGCGAGGCCTCGCCATGGCCTCCAGCAGAACAGTCCTGCGGGTTGGCGCCGTTCGCTCGCGTCTGCCGCCGCCGCCGCCAACTGCCTTCGGCCCGCGTTAATTTGATAGCATATGGGCCCGAATTGTTCTGCTTCCTCCTGCCTCTCGGAGGTCAATTTGCTATCTCGCGCGCGGTCGCCGTATGCCGCCGTTTCCTTCGCCGCCGAAGAGGTCGCCGCGTTCGCGCGCAGCCTCTAATCCCACCAGCCCTTTGGGCGTGAGTGGTTTAGCGAGCTCTCTCTGTCCTCAACCCCCCTTCTTCCCCTTCGGGGAGGGGTTTACCCCTCCCCCTACCCCCTCCCCCTGGACCTGGAGAGGGAGTCCCGAGCGTCGCCGGGGGGGTCTTTTTCGACTCCTGGGAGGGCCAAAAAACGACGACCCTCACGAGGATTCTGGCCCCGAGGGGGGGGGGGAGTTTGGCGCCTCAGCTCGTCTTTGAAGCAACAAACATTGATTTTACTACGGTTTTGGCCCCATTTTGGCCTTCTGAGGGGGCCGCGCTCCTCTTCTTTCATAGCAGCATCATTGATTTTACAGAGGTTTTGGGCTCATTTTGTCCTTCTCAGGGGGCAGCGCTCACTTGCGCTTCTGAGGAGGTCGCAAGAGGCCCCATGATGGCCCCAAGAGGCCCCCAGGAGGCTCCCAAGAGGCCTCCAAGAGGCCCCCAAGAGGCCCCCAAGAGGCCCCAAGAGGTCCCCAAGAGGCTTTTTTTTTTTCACCCCAGATCCAGCGCCGCGGACTCCGCCACGCTGGAGGATTGCCACACTGAGCTCAGTGCGGCCCCGCGAGGCCCGCGGGCCTCACCCACCTCTCCTCGTGGGCACCATCTCGGCGGGGAGCGGCCTGCCCGTCTGCGGGTGGCAGCCGCGGAGGATGCGGTCCCGCCTCTTCCTCCTGGAGTCCGCTCCTCCGTCGGCCCCTCGCGGCGGCAGGGGCCCAGGGCAGGCGCGGCCCAAGTTGGCCCTCCTCACCGCCGAGTGGGCCCCGCACGCGCGGCAGACGACGTAGGGGCCGACGACCTCCACGACGTGCGCCCTCCTGAGGTCCTCCTCAGCGCACGGCGGGCCCTCGAGGACAGGCACGTCCGCCGCCTCCCTGCGTCTCCGAGGCGACCTCGACCTCCGAAGTGACCTCCCCGCAGCACTGCCGTCGTCTCCATCACCTTCGCCTGCAGCTGCCGCCGCCACCGCCACGCCAGCGCAGGCCGCCGCCGCCCTCACAGCGCCGCCAGCCCCACGCCCTGCAGCCGTGGACGCCTCCTGCCTTGCCGCCCTTTGCCTCCGTGCGCATGCGGCTCCCACTCTAGCCTCCAGCGAGCCCCTCACCTCGCTGGTCTGGTGGCCCACCGCCTGCCAGGGAGGGGGTGCGCAAGCGGAGGCCCACAGCTTCTTCCTCATCCTGGCCGAAGCTGCACGCTTGCCGCACCGCGTGCACACCAGCCAAGCTCCACACACCT